AATGTTGGTATGTAGTACTTCGATTGTATAGCGTTTGTATTTATACATGTAGTGGTCTAGTTAATATTAAGACTTCACTTCACGCAACTAATTGATTATACTTTATACTCACACAAGTGGTATCTGTCTTATATAATGTATATACATATTGTTTCTTAGGAATATCATGCACATATATAAAGAAAATTGTTTACTAAACGGTGCCGATTGACACTCTCGTTTGGTAGGTGGGATATCTTATGGGGTGGGATATTCCATGGGATTAGTCATCTCACTTTTTATATGGATAACTAGGGAGAAATTCAAAAATAGTCAGATTTAGAAGTGGTCATTCAAAAATAGCCACAGTTTCAAAAGTAATCGAAATTTAGCCACTTTTCATGTAAAGATAAATCTGAACGAAAATACTGTTCAAAATCCGGAAAATACTCCAGCATAATATACTGGAGTTCTAGCATAAGTATACTGGAACTCCAGTATATTATAATGGAGTTCCAGCATAAGTATACTGGTACTCCAACATAATATACTGGAGTTCCAGTATAATATACTGGTCCAGTATAATATGCCGGAAGTTCATACACATGTGCTCCAATCTCCAGTATATTATGCTGGAACTTTCCGCGCGTTGGAGGTCCATCATAATATGCTGGAAGTTCATACACAGGTGCACCGATCTCCAGTATTTTATGTTGGACCGGTCCCTGTTGCAGCAAAATAGTGGCTAATAACTTTGCAAACGTTGGCTATTTTTGAATGACCAGTCCGAAAACTGGATAGCCCGTGCTATTTTAAGCACCATTTCAGTGTAAAAGTTATCCCAAAATTAGCTAATACCTCAAACCAAATATGGAATAAAGTTAATTCCAAACTTCATCCCAGAATTATTATTCTTACCACATGTACCAAACGACCCTAAGGGTACAATCTTCGCCACTGTCTATGAAATTAGAATACGCCAAAACATAGCAATATGAGAGCAAATCAGATATGAAAGGAAGCTAGAAGGAGTCTAGGGCTGTAATAAAACGAGTATATAAGACTTACAGAAGTGGATGGTCTATAGTACTAATCACGACTTGAATTACTGGTGGTGGTTGGGAATCCTCACGTGGCAAACCGACCCCTATTTCCACATCCTAATTATCCTCAAGTTTAAATGCAGAAAACTACCCCTAGCCATCTCTAGTCTAGGGAAAAAACTTTCCTTTTCAACATCCGTAGTAGTGCTTATAGACTAGTACTAGGGTTTTAGGAGGAGGACTAGCTAATAGGTTAAGGGATTTTTTCCTATCTATACCATATATGAAACCTTATTATCAAAAATGTGCATAATTCCTAAATTATCCGTTCAGTCCATATTATTTCTACAGTTTTTGTACCAATCATTAAAAGTTAATTAATAGCAGTTGTATCTTCCTATTTCTGCGAGCTAAATTTTAGGAGAAGAATATTCTGAACAGATTTGGCGTGAATATTCTGAACAGATTTAGGAGAAGAATATTGAAACGGAAAGGAGATTTCTGTTCTTCATCTTCATCTTCATCTGTTCTTCCATATATTTTCCACCATTGATAGCCATTAAAAAGCTTGAAAGCTTTGAATTCAAATTTGGGTTTTCAAAAATCATTATTTGTTTGGATTGGGTGTTGTTGTAAATAATTCGGAATATGTTTAGGAGTTTATATCTCAATTTTGAGGGGTTTTGGTGAAGATTAGACTTGGTTTTTTTGACTGAATTTCAGATTGAAACTCGAAGAAGAAGAAGAAGAAGACATATTTCCAGAAATTGTAGATAAATTGTAGTTAAATTGTAGAATTGTAGATAAATTATAGATAAATTATAGATTGGGAAGACAAAAACTTCTACAAATCTTCTACAATTATGTCGAAAATGCCAATTATGCTACAATTGAAATGGGAATTGGGATATTAAAATTCAATGTATCAATTTTGTAGATATCTAGATAAATTGTAGATAAATTGTAGATTGGGAAAACTAAAACTTCTACAAATCTTCTACAATTATGTCGAAAATGCCAATTATGCTACAATTGAAATGGGAATTGGGATATTAAAATTCAATGTATCAATTTTGTAGATATCTAGATAAATTGTAGATAAATTGTAGATTGGAAAGACTAAAACTTCTACAAATCTTCTACAATTATGTCGAAAATGCCAATTATGCTACAATTGAATGGGAATTGGGATATTAAATTTCAATGTATCCATTTTGTAGATATCTTGTAGATAAATTGTAGATTATTTGTATTCTGATTGTAGATGCATTGTTTTCTGTTTTCACAAATCCAAAACGACTAAAGCTTCTACAAAATCTTCTGCAAAAAACAGTCTACAATTTATCTATAATTTTTTAAATTTTTCTACAATTTATCTACAATTTCAGGAAATATATCTTCTTCTTCGAGTTTCAATCGACTGTGTTAACCAGTAACCTTCAGCCACTGCCAAAAAAAAAAACAAAAAAAGACACAAAAAAAGAGGTCAATGAAAATAACGATACATTGATGTTTTGTACGTGTAGATAGAGAATTGGTAAATAAGAACTAATCTGAAGATACGGTCGCTAAGTTAAGGTTTTTGGGGAAGTAAATGAGAACTAATCTGAAGATTATTGATGCTACTGTCCATCTCCAAAGGGGGGGGGGGGTTGGGGGAGAGACGGGTAAAGGTAAATGTGGGAAGATACGGTCCTAAATTAGCGCCTAATATAAATGCACCCTTAATTATATCCCTAATTTGAATTATGGTATATAAATGGTAATTTGGTATGCTGAAATGTAATTAACACAAACCTTAAACATTGAGGGTAATAAGGTTTCATATAGGGAAATTACCAGCTATGTCCATTTATAAGTAGCTCATTACAAAAATTGGCCAATTGATAAAATATTACTAATATTGGCCAAATTAGCCAATTAGCTATTTGTAGCAAAAAATATCAAATTTTTGCTTTGTTTTGAGTGGGTGTTATTAGAATAGATTGGGCACAACTTAAGGAGCTTGAATCTCAGTTTTGGAATAATTTGGTGAAGTTTTGAGGTGGTTTGAATTGAAAATTCGAAATAAACGCTGAACATGAAAAATAATGATATGTGTATCACACTGTGTAACATTTGTGTATCACATATGTATCATATTTGTATCAATTGTGTATCACATGTATATCCATGTATACCTGTGTGTGTGATACATGCGTGATACATGTTTGATACATGTGTCGCAGAAGACTTTTATGAACTCGATTTAATTACGAATTTTGATACAAAACCAGTCCAAATCACCTCCAATCTTCCTCAAATTTTGTATATTGACTTATCTATACATTTTCAATGAATTTCAACTACACCCATTGAAAAAGTTCCTTTTTTGTTTAGATTTTTGGAATATTGTATAGATTTTTGTATTTCATCACCTTATTTGCTACCCCGTCCATGAAATTTCCTTTCCGTCTTGTATCTAATGTTGCTAATCACGCTTAAAAATATGAAAAGGTGATTTTTGCATGTGATTCTTTGAGAGAGAAAACCCTATTATTTGGTTTTTCAATTTTTGTTGGCTAGTTTTGGTAAGTCTATGACTAATGGCTAGAGGTTGGTAAGTTGAGATTTATTTGGGACATTTGTGTAAGTTTCATATATAGTATAGAAAAGTAGGTTAACAAGCTAACTAACACCTCTTATGGGTGGACCCGATCCAATAGCAATTTTCTAACGAGGCCGATGTCCAGAAAACAATATGACAAAACTCAAAGTGACTATAGAGAAAAAACAAATAAAATCGGGGGAGACAACAGATGAACGACAGAAAAAGGAGGGGTTGATAGAGATCGTAGAAAAATTAATCAAGTTTGACCTTGGTACATGCTTCAATATTAAACAAAAGCTAATTAGGAATCTCTAATTCTTTTTGAATTTCTAGATTTCTACTTTATTTGTTTTATTTGCCCACCTTAACCAATAGCCTGATTCGACACATAATCATGCTGTGAAATAGACCTTAAACAAATTAGCTGATATTAATGTCACTGTTGTATAATATACAATTAGAATTCGTCGTTAAGTAGACTTTTCCATGAACTGGGACAATTTCTCGCACTACCTCCCACGTGAACGAAACATTACAAAGAACTGAATTTTATCAAGTTAATTTCACAGTTATGTATAGTATTAATTTAAAATTTCACAGTTATGTATTAATTTAAATTTTATACTTATGTTACACATAGTACTTACACAATTAAATCACTTAAACGTTGATGAAAAGATAAGTGTGTATTTAATTTGATCTGATAATATACCAAAGATTTAATTGTCTATTCGAACGACTTAAATTATATTAAAACTTTGAAAAAATTCAACCATCACGATAAAACCTAAATTCTTTTGTATGTGTTGATTTGTCCTTCTTTCCTTCGCTTCTAAGCTTCCCTGGTTCTCCACCTTAATATTCATTCTTCTTTCCTATTCCTTAAGCCATTTGGAAAATGCATGTCATATTTTAAGCAACGCATAGATATAAGATATAATGTGTGTGTGTGTGAACATTTTTTCTTACAAAAAAGATGGTAACCAATTTAATTAAGTTCCTCCGAACATTTTACATTGAAATTAGGAAGAGGATTTAATCAAATGGTTTTCCCTTTTTACTTTTTCGTTTTTTTTTTTTAAATTTTTTGTACTTTTTCACACTCCATTAGTCAAAACAGGGGGCTAATTTGTGCTTACTTTTGGGGTTGGGTGCTTGTTGATATAAACATCAAGCTTCTTGTGAGAAAATAAAAAACAAAAAACCAAGGTTAAGAGCAACAAATTTTTGTTCACTTTAGATATATTTGTTGATGCGTAGAAGGAAATGAACAGAAAAATCCCTCAAAGCTTAACCTAATGTCTCGAGTTCAGGCTCTGGAAGGAAAATGTTTTTCCTTTTAATAGGCCTTATTTGACACGAACCCACGTTAATTGGTTGCCAAAATGTGAATACTGAATACTATTGAGTGGAAACAAAATTAAATCTGAAGTGTTCGTTTATACAGTGCATATATATACTAGGAGTAGTACTTATCTGATATGTATTGACGGTGCCATTCCCCATTGCACTAATTGGATATGTAAATCAATCTGACATACTAATAAGAATAATGTTTGTGAAAACCTATTCTTACCTTACTACTATAAATTTATATTTCACCTCTCACATGCTAGGTTGACTTACCAAGTCACCATCTTCTCCGGAAAAATTAATAAATCTAATCTTTAAACTGTAATACATTATCTTGTTCATACTATTGCTGATCACATTAGTAGAAGAAAGGATGTCAGCTTGAGCTATTGCAAGTTGCATTTGAAGGTGGGAAACCTGGTTTTGTAAGTAGGATATTGCACCAACACAGCCATATACAGGATCTCTCATCCTTGCATTTGCTTCATACACTAAACTGCTCACTGCATCCGCTCTTTTATTAACCGGAACCTCCTGCTATAACTAGTTTAATTAACTTGTACACACTCACTCGCAATATAAAGAATATACGTTACTCTATAAGTACCTGTAACATTTTGCTGATATTGCTGGCACCAAAGACCTTATGAACAATGGCAAATTTGTGAGGATCGTCAGAAGGGAAGTAAGGAGCAAATATGCAATCCTTTGCACAACGGCGTCTCAGCAGCTTACATGAAGCGCATGGGGAGTTTCCTGTTGCACCCATCTTAATTTCTGATTTATTCAAAGAGTTGTAGTACTAGAAAAGAGAGAGAGATAATTATGGACAAGGGAAACTCAAGAGTGCTTACATATATATTAATACTCCTATAATTTCTTGATAAACTTAGTCACTTAAACCTTCCCTTGCTTTATTGGTAGGGAGAAAAGATATATTCTCTGTTTCAATTTTGTGAACTTATTTAATTATACACAAAGTTAAAAAAAAGAACCTTAAGAACTTTATCATCTTAAACTCATAATACAAATAAATAAATAAATAAATAAAGAGGAAACCATTTGGAGTTAGGACAACTTCCAAATAACCTAACCTTTTCCTTTTATCTCTGTCTCATAAAATTCAACCCAAACCACATAGAGCATCTACAATAGGACACCTCTTTTTTTTCTTCTTCCTTTTAAAGGTGAAGGACCTCTAGTAAAATGAATTCCTCTACCACGAAGTCAATTTCCAACTCCCTTGCCCCCCCCCCCCAACGCCCGCACGCCCCCCCCCCCCCCCAAAAAAAAACTAAATAAAATATTCCTCATTTTCGAAATGCCTAAAGACTTCGTGATTAACATGTAGGCCGTTCAGAAAAAGTAATTTAATCCTATTGGCTAGTCTATTTGACTCGTTTGAATTATTTCATTAATCAGTAGTTAAGAATTTTTTTGTTGATATTCAAATAATAGATCTTGATAATAACTAGTTAGAGTCAGTTAGGTATAAAAGATTTTACACACACACATATATATTGAAATAAAACAATAAAAGAAAGAAAAGAATATTGCAGAGAGAGAATTGTGATGACCCGCCACGTCATCATGCCACATAGGCGTCATTTGACATCATGTGGAAGCTTACATAGGAGCAAGGCTAGCATTTGTGAGAAGATTCTAGAGAAGTATGGACATTTCATTTGGAAGACCCAGATCCCTATGGATTTGATAGGAAAGTCCTTGGAATCTTCTAGGCTCGTAGAGGATTCTAAAGAAAGCCCTTATCTTGTAAATATTAAGGACTTGTGTAACAATTAATATTTACACACTAGCTCCCAGGAAACTAGTATGTAAAGGGGGCCATTCATTTGTAATTCACCAAGCAAACAATTCAAGTTCTCTCTAATAGAAATCTTCCTTTAACAATTCTCTTGTGTTCTTTCTACCATTCTCTTAGTGATCTTGAGTGTAGTAAGGCTGACTTGGCATAACAAGTACGTGATCAAGTTGTGCAAGATCGTGAGCGAGTTGTCGAGTGCTGCACGTGTACTTAGTTAACGACTAAGGACGTGACAACGTGGTATTAGAGTAAAGGTTGCAACTAAGGGAATGGCGAATGAGGGAGAAATTAACGCTGCCAACACCCAAGCCAACGTCATCCAGGATCACTACAAGAAAATAGATCATTAGCGAAGGGAAAAATGGTCCCTAAAAGTGTAATTCTGGTCCCTAAACATAATTAGCGACCAGCAAAACCTGGTCGCCACCGTCGTTATAGGCTCCGTCGCTAAAGGTCAATAGCGACGAGCTTTAGCTACTGGTCTTTAAAGTGTTTTAGCGACTGAAAATTCTCTTGTCCCTAAAATACTTTTAGGGACTAGATTTCTGGTCCTTAAGCATAGATCAATAGGTCGCTACAATATTTTAGCAACCAGTATCCACTGGTCCTAATAGGTTGTTATATATAAAAATATCTGGTCCTTAAAGAATCTTTTCCTGTCATTTCTATTTGAAATTATACAATTATCAATATAGATAATCACATGAACATAAACGAAATTATCAACGAAATCATTTTTTCACATCCAAATATGCATTTACAAATATAAAGTTGGTAATTAATTACAAAAATATATTAATATCCCACTGCTAGTTATATAATCAGGATGCATATATCACCCCTACTGTTTACACAACCTCTGGGCAAATATATAATATTTTCCTAACTGCCTAGCAAAATGCATGTTAACCATGTTCTTAACTTGTACGAAGTCTTTAAAACTCGCATCCTCAATAATAACCTCAACTTTTAAAACCCTATAAACAATAAATTGTAATTTCTCGTTAGAAAATTATAATGATCGGATTAAGTATCTAAAAGAAAACATAAATGCATACTTCCTTCTCCTTTAAAGCATGTCATTTTCGTACATAATCCAGTTATATTTTTTAAATACAGATTAATATAAACTAACTTATCCATATTTATGAAATACCTTGTCCAAGTAACAATATATACTTTCACAACTCAATTATGTAAACTCATTTAACCCAATGTGCAGTGAGCCTCCATCCGTCTAGTAAGACACAATCTTCAAGTAATCAAATATAATTAGAGCTTGACAATGAATTCCTACTCAATACATAAAATATAAGCTAGAATGTGCTAAATACACAAGTTACTAAAGCACAAACTCATGGCCTATGATATTGACTAAACTCATCTAAACAATCCAAGGAGAAGAGACTTCTTCATTGCCTCTTCAAGAAGCTGAATTACATGAAAGAGTAAAGTTGTCGTTAACCTTATAATCAACAATTTTGAGAGCTAGATATCAACCAAATTACATAAATTAGAGCCCAAGAAAAATGAAAATACACAATTGACTGAAACTACCAACCATTCTTCATATATGTTTGTTCAAGTAAAATTTGTTGTCTATAGCTAAAACATCATTCTTAACCTAAGAATTCCAACATAAAATGTTCCTTAAGAAGTGTTTATTTGAAAAGATCAAAGTAATAATGATATCACAACGGAGCAAACAAGAGAAAGCTTTTATGAGGTGAATCCCCACTTAATAGTCTCCATTAACTTCAGGAAGAAAAATGTAGTTGTTTAAAAGGATCAAAAATTAGCCCGTTCAGTAAACAACTCATATCAATCACAAAATCTCAATTTGACAAGGGTGCACTCACCTAACACATTCTAAGGATTAGAGCACCTGGAAGTGCAAACTTGCAAAATATTTTAAAGTTTAATCATTCTGCCTCAAGTACTCAATTGGACAAGTTCTCCTTTGCTTCAAGAATTTATATTCAATACTAGCATCCAAAAGGAGAAAACTTTTGCTGCTAAACTTGGTCCTACTTAATTTCGGCTACCCAACCACAAAGTTTCTTATCTTCTTATGACCCATCCCCTGATCCTTGTTTATAAGACTGAACCAGTGTGACTAGAGTCCAACATATCAAAAAAGTGCATCAAACTCGAACACAATTTTCAAGAGTGCCTGTAGCTCGTTTCACACCTAATGCAAGCAAATGTAGATGAGACACAGCACGGAAAAGTTTGTAGAAAGCCTTTAATTGAGCTGAGAATTGTAACACCAAAGATATTACACAAGTCCAAATAATATGCATTTAACTGAACTGAGAATTGCCCTCCTTTAAACTGGGCTGATTTTCAATATTCCCTCTTAGGATAGGATAACTTTAAAGTTCATAAAGAGAAAATTATAGTATATTTTAATATAAATTTTTACTACTCTTTCTCTGTCAGTTATTCTAAAAACACTAGGGTATAGCCTTCAATTTCTCAACAATTTTAACCTTCATCCTCTACAAAAACAATTTTAACCTTCATCCTCTACAAAATTTACACCTGTTAACTCAGAATGTCTCTCATATAACTCTTTTATCACTTCTACCGATTAACTATATGTTTGTGAAACTCTAATTTTAAAGACAAATAGAACTTAGAAAACAAAGATATCTCAAAAATAGGATTCAATAGCAGACTGCAATTCTAATTACCTGGTTCAATGTTGCTGGTATTGCCATTCAATATTTCTCCAACACAATATTGCAATAAGACTACAACTTTTTGAAGAGGCTCCTTGATTTTGAAACATCTACCGTGGCTCTCTTTTCCTACTACTGTATGTTCACGCCTTCAAAGACAATTGTCTTGTTGCTTCTAAATCCCACTACAGCATCATCTACATCTCAAACAAACCATTTTGCAAGCCCTACAGAATAAAAACCCCATAAGATTTGGAGAACATACAAAAATCAAGATTGTAATCTCACAGATAACCTCAATTCAAGATATTATAATACAAAAAATCACCTATACGGCTCATACGGTTATACCCGCTTGAAAGATCAAAAGAATGGTGAGATGAGAGGGGAATCACTAAATGAAAGGGAAATTTTGAATTGGTATTAGCAAAAAATTCATCGGATAGAGAAACTAGAAAACATTGACGGTGTCCTTACATAGCTCTAAATCCACACACAAACAAAAAAAGAGACAAGGAAAATTAAGAAAATAACCTTCATCAACTTTGAGATCTTTCTTGAGAATCCCTAGTTTTCGCTCGCTGCCTAAGGGGAAGCGGGAGTTATTAGGTTTGAGGTGTTTTTGTTTAATACTTTAGTTTCTTTTTTAACTTAATTATATGTAATTATTTTAAGAATTAATTTAAGTTGATGCTCACTCGCGCTCAATATGGAGCACTAGGGACCAGTTATTGATTTTTTTTTAAGGGCCACATATACTCCCATCGTCATTTAAGAACACTAGTCTTAGAGTACGTTGGTTGCGCGTGTACCCCATTCATGAATAAAGACTTTTTGAAAATCACATAAATATTATTAAAACTTTTTTAAATTAAAAATATAATTAAAACAATAATATAAGTTCCTAAAAATAATGAATGTTGATTATATTTGGCTAATTTTCTAAAAAAATCCTCATATGTATTATATTAATTCTTATACATGGGTTGTTGTTGGTTTAGAAGTTCAAGCAAAGTTGGCATAATGTGTTAACTTGTATTAATATTGCTCATAATAATATTTCGGTCCATATATTATCTTTAATCTCTTTTTTTAGGAAACAACTTTTAATGATTAGTTTGAACATGATTTTCGAATAAACTTTTAAACTTAACTTCAAATACTATTTTTTTTTCAAATATCACCAAATTTATATTCAATATTAATTCCAAACTAAGGATATGCTTTAGTTTTATCTATTATTCATCATAAAATAATACTCCCTCTCGTTCACTTTAGTTGATTTTTTTGCCTTTTTTTCCACAATATTTAAAAAATTCAAATATCAAGAAAGAATTAATTTCTTTTTTCCAAAGTTTCCCTTGGTATAAAGAGCCTATGAGTACTTGTTATATTTTCAATGAATAAATTAAGGTTAATGTGGTCAATTACATTATTATTTAATGCTAAAAGGTGAATTTCTTAATATGTGTGAAAACAACCAAAAAATCACTTAAAGTCGACCGGAGGGAATGGTATTTTATATGTTATTTTAAAAAAATAGTACATAATTTAGTATTAACGTCTGCATGTGTCCATGTTAGTTAATATGAAATTTGTATCCTTTTTTGAGTTACAAATCACTTAATTATTGGTATCCTAACAATTTGTTTTAGCCGATAACAAAAAAAGTTTATATTGCAAGCATATTCAATATAATACTTTTTTTCCTTCATAAAATTTTCAAATTACTATCTATTTTTACAGAAAATAAGAATAATTGAAGCAAGTGGTAACATTTAAGCAAATATTTCATAGGCAACTTTGCAACGAATAGCAGTTGAGTGCAAAATACATGATAGCTTAAAATTAGGATAAGAATGTTTAATGACGTACAAATCCTATGGTGATTTGAGTTAACATTAAATATACTTTTAAAGATAAAATATTCAGTTAATTATCTCAACGATATTTTATTATGATACAAATGCGCATACATACTCCAGCATATTGACAACAAAATATACATTGAATTGGACATCTCAGGTTAATTAAATTTTTCTCATATGCTTTTGTGACGACCCAAAGGGTCATCACATGTTTTTAATTGAATTCTGTGTCTCCGAGGCCTTGAAAACCTCATTTAGAGTCACCTCGATTTGCGTGCGCAGTCCGGGCGCGTAGCCGGAAAGCTTAAAGGAGAAACTGTGTGAAAAATGATAAGTTTTGACTATAAAATAAATTAATTTAACTTTTGTCAACGTTTTGGGTAAACGGACCCAGACCCGTGATTTGACGGTCCTGGAGGGTCCGTAGGAAAATATGGGACTTGGGCGTATGCCCGGAATCGAATTCCGAGGTCCCAAGCCCGAGAAATGAATTTTTAAAAGAAATTGTTTTCTGAAATTATTTAAGGAAATTTGAAATGAAATCTGATTAGAACATGTTAGTATCGGGCCCGTATTTTGGTTCCGGCGCCCGATACAGGTCTTATATATGATTTAAGATGTTTCTGTGAAATTTGGTGAAAAACGGACGTCGTTTGACGTGATTCGGACCTAAATTGGAAAATTTGATGTTTTATGAAGTTTGAAAGAATTCATGGATTTTGAGGTTTAATTCGATGTTTATGATGTTATTTTGGCGATTTGATCGCACGAATAAGTCCGTAGGATATTTTTGAGGTTGTGTGTATATTTGGTTTGGAGCCCCGAGGGCTCGGGTGAGTTTTGGTTAGGCCACGGGTGCATTTTTGAACTTTGAAAAAAATCTGGTAGTTCTGATCTGCAGGCTTCGCATTTGCGAAGCAGGTCTCGCAAATGCAAGCTCGCAAATGCGAGCCTTGCATCGCAAATGCGAGAAAACGGAACTGTGCAGCCTGATCGCAAATGCGACCAGGTGGTTTGCAAATGCGAAAATTGGCCAGTCGCAAATACGACATTATTGATCGCAAATGCGAAGCCCGGGAATTTTTAAAGTGTTCGCAAATGCGAAGTTTATTTCGCAATTCCCACATTAGTAGGTCGGGGTTCGCAATTGCGAACCCCTGTTCGCATTTCCCATAATTGAGACCTGCATTTTTCTATACTTAGCCGATTTTAAGTCATTTTTCACATCTTTTTCAAAACACAACTCCTTTGGGCGATTTTCCAAGAACAAGTCTTCTTCCAAATCAATTGTAAGTTAGTTTTTACTCATTTCTTTCAATTATTAACATCTTTTAACATGATTTCAACCTAAAATCAAAGATTTTCATGGGGAAAATTGGGTGTTTTGGGTAGAACCTAAGTTTTTCAAAAATTGGGGATTTGGACCTCAATTTGAGGTCTGATTTCAAAATAAATTATATATTTGAGTTCGTGGGGGAATGGGTAATCGGATTTTGGTTCGAACCTCGAGTTTTGACCACGTGGGCCCCGGGGCGATTTTTGACTTTTTGGGTAAAACTTTGGAAAACTCATTTTCATGCATTGGGATTGATTTATTTAGCGTTTATTGATATAACTAAGTAATTTGTGATTAGATACGAATGAATTGGCGGTGGAATCAAGGGGTAAAGCTATAATTGAGACTTGAGTTGTGTTCAAGGCATCGAGGTAAGTGTTTGGTCTAACCTTAGCTTGAGGGATTAGGAGTCGAGTCCTATTTGCTACGTGATTATTGTTGAGTACGACGTATAGGCATGGTGACGAGTATCTATACGTTGGTGTCTAGCATGACCGTGGGTCTTATAATGTGATTTTCATAATTTCGTTGAACAATCTATGCTTTAGAAGTGATTTCTATTTGTTGTGAGAAGTTAAAGAAGTAATTATGACTTTTGTACATCGTGGAGCAATGGCTCAAGTTATATTACGAATTTGTGAAAGTAAGTGAGTTGATTGAACCCTTTGGAGCATTGTCTCAAGTGGTAAAGCGAGTTGTGAAGTAAAAGTGAAAAGAAAAAGAGTTATTAAATTGTTCCCTTGCCGGGATATTATTGTTTATTTGGTTATCTCCCTTGCCAGGATGTTGATATTGTTGATGTTGTTCCCTTGCCGGGATTTAATGGTTTAATTGTTGCTCCCTTGCCGGGATTCCTATTATAATCTTGTGTATTCCCTCGCCCCATTGTTGTGATTTTGTTTGGGTGAGGAAGAGTGATAAAGCACGAAGGGTAATGCCGTGCATTATTTGTTTTCGTGAGGAAAGAGTGTAAAGCACGAAGGGTGATGCCGTGCTGCATGATGTACCATTCCGTGCCTATTATATTGATTCTTATGGTGAGAACGAGAGTAAAACCACGAAGGGTGATGCCGTGCACTTGTCCTTGATTTTCCTGATTCTTGCTGATAATTGAGTTGTGTTGTTCTTTACGTTTATTTTACTGATTTCCTGTTGTTACTTGACTTTATGGTGATGTCATTGATTCCCTTGCCCTAATTGCTTTGTAATTGTTGCTTGGGTGAGGAAGAGTGTAAAGCACGAAGGGTGATGCCGTGTATTGTTTTGGTGAGAGAGTGTTAAAGCACGAAGGATGATACCGTGCACTTATTGCCGTTTGTTATGATTTCTTGTTTTTATCAGTTCAAGTGCATTAATTGTCTTATTCCACTATTACTGTGATTCTTATGTTGACATTTTCCTTTATTGTGTTACTTGTTATTTTTGGATCAAGGTATCCTTGCGCAACATTACGCCTTGAATTTATGCTATAATTGCTACATGTTTATGTGACTTAATTGCTACTTGACATTTAGTATACTAAATATTAAATTGCCTAATTGCTCCTTAAAGTCCATAATTAATTGCTACTTGTCATTACTTGTTTTCCTCAGTGAGTCATAATTATTGTGTACTTGTTGTCTTATGAATTCGTATTAATTGTTGCGTTTGTTGGAGTAAATTTCATTTGGAAGAACTGTTGATATAATAAAATGGGAGCGGGTGGTACGCCTACCACAAGATATAATAAAATGGGAGCGGGTGGTACGCCTACCACAAGATATAATAAAATGGGAGCGGGTGGTACGCCTACCACGAGATATAATAAAATGGGAGCGGGTGGTACGCCTACCACGAGATAAATGAAATAGGAGCACGGGATACATGAAATGGGAGCGGGTGGCATGCCTGCCACGAGATACATGAAATGGGAGCGGGTGGCACGCCTGCCACGAGATACAGGAAGTGGGATCGGGTTGCACGCCTGCAACAAGATGTGAAAAGAAAGTGAAACCTGCCTTTGTTTTCCTTATTCTTGCTAGTGGTTGGATTTTGATTCCTTTATAGTTCTCTTGATATTCTGTTTTTACCTGTTATTCCCCGAAGCATGTTTCCCCCTCCCATCCTTACTTGCTTATACCTGCTTTACTTTTCGCTGCATATTATATAACTGCACAGATTTATTTGATAGTCTGGTCCTAGCCTCGTCACTACTTCGCCGAGGTTAGGCTAGGCACTTACCAACACATGGGGTCGGTTGTGCTGATACTACACTCTACACTCTTTTGTGTAGACCCCAGTGGTGTAGACTTCGGACCGCAGTGGGATTGCTGATTCT